GCTGGTCCACACTGCCTGAGGGCAAAAACGGCTAGGGGTAGGCCCCTTCCCAACAACCGTACCAGCACAACATGAAGCGAAAAACTCACCTTCAAGGGTGGGTCGGGTGGGAAAAAGAAAACTTCAGCTGTCGCAAGCCAAAGCTGCAACATGAGATTCATGACCTACCCAAAAGTCAAAATTTGAGTGGATTGATGAAAACAAATCAAGCAAGCTAATTTGCCACAACAAAATTTTTACTCAACAGCAAATAAAGTCACATCCCCTTTTCGAGTGGCTGTTTGGGGAGTGTTGACTTATTCACTGTATCGTAAATCGCTTGCCAATCAATCACAAATATATCCAACTCAAATATAATATATGAAAATATGCACACGCAGACAGAGTCACTCGCCGGACTTTTTGATCTCACTGGGGCTGGTCCACACTGCCTGAGGGCAAACCCCACTCAAAGAGCAGTGGATGACACCTCCCAGGAGATGTCGCCAACGAGGAATTTCTCAAGACCGGTCACATCCAATCTGCTGGGTGCATCTGCTGGGTTACTGTGTGTGGGCACGCGAGCATACCACACACGTAACTGAAATCTTTGCTCAATGAGGCGAATGGCATCGACTATTGCAGCACCTGTCTGTGTCGCAGAGCACGATCTGACCAATGCATATTTGGCAGCATCGTTGTCCACAAAACTCACCACCTGCGAGCCAGCAAGCCACGAAGCCCACTTCCTAAAGGAGATGAGCACTGGAAAAAGCTCAAGCTCGTAGATAGGATTGGCCGAGTCTTGCAAGAGGTCATGCATAACTCGAGTGGGCACACTTTCACTGAAGGCAGACACGACCCTGCCGCACTGGTCATAGAGGACCGCACCAACAGCTCCAGTTCTTGCAGCAGCCTCACATGAACCATCTGTGAACAGGTACCAAGTAGAGAGAGCTACAGATGAAATTTGCAGCGGAATGGCTGATTTCAAGCGCTCTCTCAGCACAGTCAAGGCGGACACTACAGCAGGTGGAAGCTTCTTGCTAGTGGCACCCGTCCTGGCATGATGGTCGATGGTCCTCAGGGCCTGAGCAGGACCACGACCGAAGGCGTGGCCTTCGAAGAAGTTCATCCTTCCCCTCAATCGTTCAGCCTCCTTCATGCTCAAAGATCCTTGTTCTACAACCGCCTCCAAGGAGGTATCTAGCTCAGACACACGTTTTTCAGTATGCCCAATCTCTATACTCCCTTCCTTGAAAGGGCCTAGGTTAACGGAAAGCCCAAGCATGTTGAAGACGGTACTGAAGGGAGGAGCCTTCTTCCCTTCCTTTGCAAAGGTAAGGCCCAGCAACTGAAACAAAGACTCTATTCCGAAAGCAGCGTTTTTCTTTAACGATTCCTTGCTCACAACAGAATAGTCGTCAAAGAAGGCGCTCCACATCACACGGAGGCCTACTACGCCAAGTTGCCACAGGCACAAACTTATTCTAAGGAAGGCCGAAACGGATCCTATGCCACCGAACGGAAGGGAACTAAACCCGAAGAGGGTGGTAGTCCCTTTGGCATATGGGAAATTGCTTATAAGCACTTTTCAGGTCGTATGTCCTGCCACATAGAGAGAAGTCCGGATCCTTCACCAACGAAGTAGCATAAGCTTGCATCGCTGCCATCTTGTCGATGGAGTGGAGAACGAACTTTTCTCTAAGTCCTACCGTGGCATTCAGCCCACAGCAAGACAGGTCATCAATCACCCGAATCTTCCCATTCTGGAAGATCCCAAATCTCCTCGCCACGACTTTTCCGTCCATCACTTGGTCCTCGCAACGCCAAACCCAGCCCTGTTCCTCCTCAGCCAGAGTTTCCTGCCAAGTGGCTTCCTCCAAAGGACGCTCCTGTCGCACTTTAGCCTTTGACAAGGTCGCTGTATTGAAACCTGCAGACAAAAGCTTTAAAGCATCGACAGAGAACTCAGGCCTCTTCGTTGAAGCAGGAAAGGACCCGCTGCTGGGCACCCAACCACTAAGACTGAAGCCCTCCTTCATGTGCCTGACCAGGTCAGTGTCAGGCAGTCCATAGAAATCAATCATTTCTTGTAAAAGGAGAAGCCGCTTCCCTTTCAAGATATGCTTGATGTGCTTCGGCAGACTCGCGTGCAATTCAGCCTCTTGTTGTTCCAGGGCCCTTGCCCTCGAAGACCACTTAGCCACAAAAGCAAGCCTAGCTTTCGCAAGTCTGAGCTCGTCACCCACGATGTTTTCTTCGACCACTTTCTTGAGCAGTGGCTCAAGAGACGACTTGAAGTCTGCGGGATGCCCCGTTTCCACAGCCTTCGTGACAAACACCTCAGGCGAAGCTGGGATGCCGAAGAGGACAATCTCGACCAAGCTGGAGGGCACAAGCACAGAAGTGTCCAAGTCACACCTGATGCCAACAGACGGACTCCTGCTCTCGGCCTGGAATTGCCCCCACTGAAGCAAACGCCGAGAGAGAAACACAGCATGCTGAGGTGCCTGCGGCAACTTTGAAGATGGTGTGGCAACAACTTGCAGATGGTGACCAAACTCTGGCAACAGTTGAGGAGCTTTAGCACCTGCAGGCTGCAAGCCCAACACAAGTCTCTGAGTACTTGGGGCAGATTGCTCCACTGCACCTTTCAAAGAGAGCCGATCCGCTATCCCTTGTGCCAGGCAGGCATGCTTAAGGATCCCCGCAACCCGATCACACAGAAGGTCAGGGTATGCTGCACGGCCTGAGGTGTCAAAAGGCAGGTCCAAATCCGGTGCCACGGGCCGCCAGGGCTCATGAGAACACAGTTTGTTCCCCGGGCAGACTGCTGCTAAGCTTGCAAAGGTTTGGTCGGAAGTCCACAGCTGCACATGCTTGGGGCGAGGACCTCCGTGCTGGCACATGTGGAAATGCACCACTGATCCTAAATGCAGCGCCTGCAAAGAGCGAAAGAACTCCGTCTGCCAGTACAGTGACGACACCGGATTTTCAATAACACAACGCACACCTCGCTTCAGAGCTGCTTGGAGCAGGACAGTAACTCCATGATACACTTGGTTTGCCACCTCGCACTTTGCTTTGTCCCGCCCCATAAGACCATCCAAACCTTCGGGTTGGCTAAGGCTACGGAGGGGCTTAGGGGTTGGCAAGTTCAGGGGCTCGAACCTCGGCAGCGGCTTGGATCTTGCAACACTGGCCGTCCCATGAGGCACTGCAGCCCAAATTAGCGCTATCCTGGCGGACTCGGTGCAAATCAACTCCTCGAGGCTACGCAGGGCCTCGGGGTCAGTCAAGTCTAAGTGATGTACTCGCAGTTTGGGCTTGTGGTCAAAGCTGCTTCGACTTGCAATCGGCATGACTTGAAAGCCCAGTTTATGGCAAGCCCAGCTAAGACCAGCAGAGCCACAACACACCTCGATGACAAGCATGTCAGTCAAGCACTTGCCGGGCACCTCATCCTCGGAAAGCTCAGCAGTGAGCATCGGCTTGCGAAGGACGAAACCTGAATCCTGCAGACGACAAACATCTCTAGGGTCAAGTTTCTCCAGAAACCTGGGCGTAAACGCCACAACAACGCATCTCCTCCCTGTCCATGGGAGTGTACAGTGCTTTGCATCTGCAGCAGGAAGCCACTGAGGTCCCGATGCAACATCGAGGATGTGACCAAACCTCGAACAATCCAAAGGGCAGGGTACTGTACCGGAACTGGCCTGATACCAAATTCCTCCTCCCTCAAAGGATGATATGGGTATTATCAAATTCCAAGTAGATGGTTCGTTATTGGCATCCTGATGCAAATCAGATTGAGTTTGATCAAGAATCGTGAAGGAGGCAAACGGGTAGCCACCTGAAAATTGTCTGATAAAACTGCACACCACTTGCACTGAAGACGAAAACTTCGAAGTATTAAGATGGAGGCCTACGACGCCTCCATGCACAAAGCTTCCAGCTGAAAAGGATTTGCCCCTTACGGCCGAGCCTCGCGGTGCATCACTCTTATGCAAAAAATCGAAAATTTGCAAAACATCGGCTGCACTTACATGTTTGCCGCGTACGTCCTCAGCAAGCTCCTCAGCTCGCTGAGGCATGTCAACTTTTTGCCGTTTAACGGACTGTGAAGGCTCTAAAACGTCAGCTGCAGGGGCCATGCTTGCATCAACACACTGGAAGGCACCTGAAGCACTTTGCACGTCCTCTGCATGGGGCTCTTGCAGTCACGATTTCTGCTGTCCACCCCGGGCTCTACAGTTGCTGAAGGAGTGGCCTGGCTTGTGACAGAACATGCACACATGGAAACCCTTCTGGCATCTCGGCAGGCCATCCGCAGCCTTGGTCTCCAGCGAGCAACCCTCCAGGTTAAAACCCCAACAGCACGGCCCTTTGCTAAACTTCTTGCATCCTTTGAGAGCATCCGGCATGACCTTCTTCGCCTTCTTCCGAAGACGAAACTTCTTCGGCGGTGTTGGCACATCGGGAGGGAGAGCGTCAGATGGCTCAACACTCGATGTGACCTGGATCCTGCTAGCTTGTGACACCATGACAGGCAACAGCCACATCTGGACCCTAGAGTCCAACATGAGCTTGCTCATAGAGACATCAAGCGGCTTTGTCCCATCAGGTTTCGCCTTGAATGGGGGCACGCACTCTCGGGCCATGATGGTCCACAATTCCTTGTCAGCACGCACGATCTGTTGTATGGTGACCTGAGTAAAACCAGGGGGCACAGGCGCGCTCAGGGCAAAAAGAAGCCTGTGAAGATAATCCTGATGCGTGCTCCACTCAATCAGTCCACACTGATCAAAGGCAATTCCCCTCCTCTGAAAGGCAAAGTGAAGCATCAGAGGCGTGGTCACATCCGCCTTGGTTTCAACCTGAGAGGCAGATACCTTCAAGGCTTCTTTCTCAACCTGCACAACCTGTGCCTTGTGATCAATGCCTTGGGCGACTTCCAGGTCCCGCTTCCCACACATGGAAGGGGAGATCCAAACAAGCTGCCCTGATTCCAAGATATGATTGACCTTATCAACCAACCCATAGGAAGGCTGCAGCTCCCCAGTGATGGAGACGCCTGAAAGCCTACGCTGCTGATCAGACAACCTGGCTGCACGCTCTGCCATTGGCAGCTTGCGCACCTGATGTTCAGTAGCATCTGAGCTTACCTGATCCTTAAGGGCTTGGATGACATACGTCGTCGCTTCAAAGTGCAAATCTCTAAGCTGTGCCACTTTCCCAATCGGAGCAGCAGCTCCGAACACCTGAGCTGCCAGCTCCTGATACTGCTCGGGCGTCGGCTCAGATCGCGGTGTGCCTATGGCAAACGCAAGTTGCCTGAAGCTGCGAATGCTCTGAGCCGCCAGGGAAGTGTAAAGACTCCCATCAGGGCTGACTTCCAGACACCTCTGCTTGAGTGCAGCCTCTGAAGTCACGAGAGCCATCGCACGCCTAGATGTGTAGCTTCGCTATGACATGAAAAAGAAAGTGAAAAAATGCCCGATGCAGGTATCTCAGATGGACATGCATGCAAGCCCCTACGCCGACCGAACCTAAATCTGGCGCAAGAAATCAAGCTCACCTCTTGGAAGCCCGGCTGGGGAAAATTCACCCACCGCGCACAACACACAGGGAATGCTCGACATGAACTGGGAAAGCTCACCAGTGCGCTCAGACCCTCGAGTTTTCACCTTTCGATCTTCGAGATCAACGTCTGAAACAAAACTGGCACGGCTTCATGCCAGCATCCAACATCGTCGCTTTGAGCTTTGCATGCTTCGGGCCTACAGCCCTCCCGCACGCCAAAAGGTTTCGGAAGTTCCTTGACGATGCCAGATGTGCAACCTTCGATGAAGCATGCAGCCACAGGCCAAAGCCCTCTGGGACGAGCTTCCCTCCCGCCACGGCTGCAACTGGCTGGTGGTCGTCTTCGTCGGCCGATGAGGTCGAGCTTCCAAGAGACCTTACATCTGCACCGTCACTTTCCTCCAGGTCCACGACTTCGAGCGAGGGGCCATCTGCACCGTGACGCTCAAGCTTGACCTCAGGGCCGCTGGCCAGCTCCGCCACTGGCACATCATCCCCAAGCCCCTCGAAACCGGGGCACGAATCAGGGGCTCAACAAGCGGCTTCGGCGATCCAGCCAATCTCCCTCCCCTTGTGTCGTCAGGCCTGAACTTCCCTTCGCGAACCTCAGCCAGAAGCTTTTCCACGATGAGGATGTAGGGTGCTTGGGCATCTCTGCTGTAGACTATGTCGAGCCCACCTGATGCATGATATCCCAGACGCTGGATGGAAAGTCCATCAACTCCTCGTTTCGCTGCCCAGGACAAGACCGTAGCCTTTAAGGACTTTGAGGATGGCTCAGGTCCTGCAGACGGCTTGTCCCTGAGGAGCAGACGCATCCAGGTTGTAGCTTCCTCGGAGTCGATACCACGGACCGTGGGGCTAGCACTCGAGTCTGGCGCAGGACAAAAAGGCATGCGCCCGACATCATCCAGGCCAATATCTCTCCTGCTGGCCAACCACTGCTCTCCGAACTCTTTGACCCCCAGACTTGGAGAAACAACGTGCAGGAATCTGTGTCTCTTGCTCTGAAGACGGCAAGTCTTGTGAACCCCTATCCTCAGTTCCAAGTAGGTCAGCCGCCCATCTGGGCCTCTGTCCAAAATGAGCTCGTCGGAGTGCTGAATGTCCGACCACCTACAACGACTGTAGGTGGCCACCAGTGCACACCCAGCAAAGTGCCGGGTCCATGGATCACGATGAGACTCTAACACGTCGTGCAAATAAAGAAGCTGATCCACTGTGAGCGCCGGAGCTTGCTTGGATGCTTTGAAGGCTTCCACCACTCCCACACCACGGCACCTTCTACTCTTAAGCAGATCCTCAACCTCATCCACACCAATGACGTGTCGCACGAAAGCAAGGGCCTCGAGCAGCCCTGTGCACCTGCTCTTCGCCATGCCCTCAGCTTCCATATGTTTCAAGAAGGTGTAGAGGTCCTTCTCGCCACAGGGGAAGGTGATCATCCTTTCTGCAAGGAAAGCTTGCAGACCTGAAATGGCCCTGGCCCTCTTAAGCAAGGTCGATGGCGCCTTTCCCCTCAAGACATCGGACACGACTTCCCTCTGGGAATCGCCTTGGACTTCGGCCTCCAGCATGTCAACGAAGTTGCATGGGCCCCAACCTTTGATTAAAGTAAGCCACAAATCAACCCCGATGTCGAACTGGGCGGCTCTCTGATCTTTCCAAGACACTGGCACCCTCATCTTGACAGCTGAGGCAAACGAAACACCCTTGTCCAAGACCCTCACTCGCTTGACTGCTGCGGGAGCAGCCTCGCTATGAGAACCTTCATCGGCTTCCAAGGGCGTGGGGACTGTTCGCTTCAGTGAAGGGAAAAGCTCAGGTTCTGAAGAGCCAAAGATTTCCCCAAAGACACCCATCTCCCAAGGCAACCTCAAAGGGTTACGATCCTGCAAGCTGAATTGAGATTGCACTGCTGAGCGGAAAGTCGAAGCAAAGTCGATGCTTGAAGATTCAAGGGGGTCGACCACGGGTTCCTCTTCGCATTCGCTGTCCCTGACCTGATCCCACCAACGACCCTCTGAAACGGCATCACCAAGCTCTGAGGACGGAACACCTCTTGAGAAGTCTGGGGAGCCAGCAGAAGAACCGGGACCTAAACCCCTAGGGAAGAGGGCACCGGCCGGGAAGGAACCAAAGAAACCTTTACAAAAACACCTCGGCACATCTAGCTCGGGTTCGGAGTGGTCATCTGGCTCGAGCTCTGCAGGGCCCTCTGCAGCAGACACAGGGAAGGCACCTGAAACCTGCTCATCCAGGCGACCCTGCACTTGCACAAAAGGGGCCGGCGGATCAACACCCCCACTGGCAAAACCCGGGCCCGCAGCCAAAACCTCCTGAAGCGGCTCTGAAGGAGGAAAGCTCATGCTAGATAGGAGCGGGTCGGAGCTACACCCCGAGGCACCAGAGGCCTTTGGTCCATCTGCCACCCCACTCAGGGGAGTGGCGTGTAAAGATGCTAAAGCCTCCTCAGTAGCTCCCTGGGACCTGCTAGCAAGTCACTACGGAGACTAGCGGAGGCCCAAAAAGAAAACTTCAGCTGTCGCAAGCCAAAGCTGCAACATGAGATTCATGACCTACCCAAAAGTCAAAATTTGAGTGGATTGATGAAAACAAATCAAGCAAGCTAATTTGCCACAACAAATTTTTACTCAACAGCAAATAAAGTCACATCCCCTTTTCGAGTGGCTGTTTGGGGAGTGTTGACTGAAGCATGCGCAAAAGGCAAGCGTCAAAGCAGAAGAAAGCGGCAAAACTTTGCTGTTCTGGAAAAGAAGTAAATCATCTACATAAAGCAGAAGCACGTGAGCCAGCCAAATAAGCAGGTGAAGGCAGCGGGTAAAGAAGCCTCCCAGCCTGGCAAACCAGTGACTTGAAAAAGTGGCTCCAAAGGGCAGACCTTGTAAAAAAGCAGACGTTCCTGCTGGCGTATGCCCAGGAGACCAATGTCTTGTTCGCGGACACGCGAAGTCTTATGGGCTCCTTTAACATCCAAGCTGAAACCCTGAACCTCCTCGTT